AGGCTATAGATCTGTTGCGAGGAGAAAGGGGTGGATTGGTAACAGTTGATGGTAAGAAAGTAGACTTTCTTAACTCATGTTTTATGTCCTCTCTCAGAAGAGAAATGAAGCCCTAACTGACCATCATTGCACCATTAGTAGAAAGAACTGCCACTCATGATTGAAAAAGAAGGGTAAAAAAAAGCACTTGGCTAATTTAAATGAATTCAAGTTTCCAGAGCTAGATGAATTACATCCTAAGGTATTCAAGGAAATGACAGAGATGACTGTGTGCCAGCCCTTTGAGGTAGGCCAGGTCAAGAAATCTCAAGAAATACTGGAACTGCCATAGACTATAGTAACAGAATTGTGAAAGCCTGGCAGCATTTCTCTCCCTCCCTCTTATGCTGAAAAGAGTTAAGACAGAGCCAGTTTCTTTCTAATATTCTGCTAAATGCCACATTCTTTCTCCAAGATAATCTCTGTACTTCTCCAGACTGCAAATCTGCTAACTGAGCTCCTGGAGGACCAGTAAAGTCTCATAAGAATGGAAGAGAGCAAATGTCCTTAAGTTTAAAAAAGGAAAAGAGGAGGATCAGGAAATTACAAATTTGTCAACTTAACATCTATATTGGGCAACCTCTTTGAGGAGATTGTTAAACAGAGCAAGATTAGAATGCAACAATTAAGAAAGGCCATCATAGGTCTGTCACGGACAAGTCAAGTCACATGAGCTTTATCTCCTCCTTTGAGAGAGTTACAAGTTTAATAGATTTGGGGAATGTCAATGACATAGTTTATCTTGACCTCAGCAAAGCACTCAACAAAATATCTTATAATGTCTTCATTAATAAAATGGTAAAATATAAGCTAGATGATAGATCTATTAGATGGCTTCATAACTGGCTGAACATTCACATCCAGAAAGTGCTGACATACGGCTCCACATCATATTAGATAGTAGTACTAAATGAAGTATCCTGAATTGTACATTTTTATTAATGACTTGGATTGAGGAGATGATTATCAAATTTGCAGATGACACAAAAATAGGAGAAGTAGCTATTCCTTCAGAAGATAAAGCAAAGATTTAAAAAGATCTACAGAAGCTTATACAGTGGGCTGAAACAATCAGGATGAAATTTAACAGTCAGAAATATAAAGTCCTGCACCTGGGGAGAAAAAATGAAAGGCATAATTACAGTATAGGGGAGATTTGCCTGGCTTGGCAGTAGTAGTAGTAATCATGAAAAGAATAATAGACTGACCATGACCCAACGGTGTGATGCTAAAAAGCCAAATCTTCTTTTGGAATATGTTAACAAGAACTTGTACTACTCAATTCTATTTTTGTCAGACCCCACTTGGAATACTGTGCCTAGTTCTACACAGGCCTTCTCGCAACATTCTTACCAGATATAAATATTCAAGAGCAACACCAAAACAATCTATAAATGAAATGTGGTTCCTTCAGAAAATCTTCCTTCCCAGCTCTCACTGTGCATAATACATTCCTATCATATCAACCTATAATCTTTTTAAGTTAAAAATCCAAATATTGTAATGTTGTAACAGGAGTTGTTGCAGAAGTTTATTCTGCATCATATATTTGCTTGAGACACAGAATGATGATAGGATAATACAGGCTTATATCAGCATTATGATACTGATATCAGTATCTTCAATTATTCCCAGTATGGAATTTGCCTTTTTCACAACAGCCAGACACTGGATAAACATATTCAAGCCATCCCGCAGAAACCCAATATCTTTCCCTTAGCCAAGCAGTCCTAGGTCAAATCCCACCAGCATCTATGTTAAGTTAGGTTATTTTGCCTGAATATATTCATTTACACAATTCATAATACCTAAAGTTTTGCATAACTTCCAACAGCACTAACTAAAGATGTGAAGTTATAAAAGGCTCAGAAAAAAATGAGGAAAATGGAAAAAAATATACATTCACATAGTCCCACCCCCCACCCCGGTCCAGGTTTGCTGATTTATTTCCACAACTTTCTATGACTATGTTCTTCTGGAAAGTGTTAAAATCAGCACAACCAGATCTTCTGAGCTGATCTGAAAGATTCCATGACTGAATAAAATTCTGATAATTCAGTAGAAGTATATATTCTTTTTGCCCATTATCTACCATGAGCCTTTCATCTGAGCAATTAATATTACTCTGATATCATGAATAATCAAATCAGAAATGCATGCAATATAACTTTAGAAATATCAAGCATATTTTCCATAAGAGAGGGAATCCTGAAGTAATTGGTAAACTTATTTTTAGAACACAAAATTAATATAAACATGAATCTGCAAGTTCAGTAGTCTTCCTTTGATAGATGAATTCTTCAGATGACTTAATTATACCTGCTGCTAACACAATTATTAGCTCTTTAAATATGTAATGTTCTACCTAAATCAATGAAGTTCTGGCAGGTGGTCAATAATTCAGGCTAACATGCTAGAATTAAAAGGTAAATTGCTATATCACACCTTCATTTATTTATATTTCAAATTTAGTCACCGCCCATCTCACTCATATCTTTACAAGTTACCCATTAAGTACAACATAGCTCTAGTGTCAAAAACTATTTCACTGTTGTCCTCAACAACTTCTGACATGTCCTTTTATTATTATTAATAAACAATATTTATCTACAAATTTGTGATGAAGACCTGAAAATTTTTGATGCCCCAATTCTGTCCTAAATCTGCAAATCTCAAGTAGGAATGTTTTCCTAGACAGTAAGAACTTGAAACCAAATTTAATGTAGCAATAGGTAGACTGAATTATAAATGAGAATACAGTTCAATTTTTAATCATGAATACAGAATCCCCCATCATAGGAACAATATAGAACTACATTATCTCAGCAACTGTTACCACATCCCCATTAAGTAGGTTGTATGTTTTGAACACTGAAGAAATACTAAACACTATTATTAAATATTTATTGAGCCTTGTGCAATGTAATGGTGGTATTGAGGAATCAGAAACATTCTCTTATCCCAGCAATTCAATAATGAGTTTCTCCATTATAGAGACCTGAGAAATTATACAATGTATGTAGCTCAGAATTCATATTATAATGACCAAGAAAAATTCCTAAGCAGTAATTCTCAAATCCAGTTTTAAGGCCAGCATTCAAGGATTTTCAAGTTCATTTTGCCTAATCAAATGTTGTCCATGATCAAGTACCCCATTTCATTATACCAGTTTTGTATTTTAACCCTCTTACTGTAGGAAAGGAATCTAAGGCACTCAAAAGTCCTGTAGGACTGGAGAGGCATATAAGCCCCCATAAATAAATAAATATTCTATGAAGTCAAGAATATCTCTTATGAGAAATGTGCCATGTTTCTCTAACAATTACAGAAGAAGTCAATGCTCTTCACTACCCAGTTGCACAAAGGACTGGACACACACAAACATCTTGATCCTTTTTAATCACAAGAAGAAACTTCCTGACCATTACTACTTCCACATTAAAAATGATTCTGTTTATGGAGGTAGTTTGTCTATTGTAGTTCAATTTTAATTTAGCTAAAGCTTTAGAATATTCTTGTGGTAAACAAAAATTAATAAAAATAATTCACTTTCTCAAAAAACATGCAATGAGACTTGCAAAATGTACTGAGTTATAAAGTAAATATCTTGCATGCAGAAGGTTCCAGATTAAATTCCTGGTATCTGTAACAATCCATAAATTATTCATAATAATTAAGTCATAATAGTTTAGAATTTTGCTTAGCCATTATAAATCTGTGAAGCAAGAGTTTTATAATTACCACCATCCTCTCTTAGTCTCAATCATCAGTCAAATTGCAAGTTTTTTGACCCACCTTAAAGGCAAGTCAGCCCCGTTCCATTCTAAGCATTTGGTTTTGGTACACTTAAATAAAATGCAACTTTCATACAGAATTTTATGCTACAAACTTGAAAAATACTCAATATACAAATAAATACTAATTCATTTAACATAAAGCTATAAAGACCAACCAAAACAGTTGGAAGTCAGACATTTTGAAACAAGAACTTTGACTGCAGTGTTTTAGTAGAGCTATGCAAAGGACACTTCACAAAACCTGCTGGTGCAAGCAAAGCACCCCCCTCAAAATATTAAAATAATGAGTCAGTCCCAACAGAAGTGTTTTCTGCACATATGCATGCACACAGAGAAAACTGGAGAAAGCCTACAAAACAACTGCAATTAGATTTTCAGAGGATCTGGCTATTTTGCCTCAGGACACACTATATAGCACTAGGAAAGGACACAATATAGCCCTCTTCTCCAATGTCTGATGTTTGTTTAAAAGTAGACACGGTAATCAAGCTTGAGCTTGACTAAGGACCCAGCCTCTCTCAATCAACAAGATATGTTCATAAGTCCAACATAAGCCAATTCTGCCATACGTCACGATCAGACTTTCATTACTGTATGTGAGGTACATATAAACTTTTTTTTTTTTGCTTATGTCTAGCAAAATGAGGATGTATCATCCTTGTTCAATTATTAAACATTCTATACCTTGCTCTTTGCAAATGAACTAGATAACCAGATGGAAGGGAAAATGTGAGCAGCTGCTGAAGAAAATTAAGACAGGTTCAAGTAACTGAAACAGAATATTCTAATGCCTATTTTCCATATTTACGAAATATAACATGTAGTGAGGACCATGCTTTTCCATAGGCTGAAATATTTGAAAGTAAAATTGTGCCAGGAATACAAAACAAACAAACATTCCCCTTAATTTTATATTTTTCACACATTTTCCTTCTACTTAAGCTACAAAAGTTATTAAAGATCAAATGCCTAAAATATCTGGTTCTTCAACGTAAGTATTTGTCTAAGTCATACAACTGTTCCATACTTAAAGAACAGCATATCTGTACGCATGATGCATAAAGAATTTTCTTTCAGTGAACAACAAATATCATTCAAATCTACTAACACAACAGACTTTAACAAAATTGTTTCTCCTTATTTAAAAGGGTTATAGAACCTTACCTTTCAGCAGAGGCAGTGGAGTTAACTCAATAGGCTTGCCCTGAGACCGAAACTGGGAGGAGCTTTGCGACCTCTTCTGCCTAGCTTTTCTGACGGACTTCCGAGAAAATCCGTCTACTTTATCCACTGATGGAGGAGTGGTTGGTGCTGAGGACATATCCCTACTAAAAAGAACAGACATTATTCTCAAGTAAAAATTAAGAAAAAAGTCCCAATCTCTCCATATTTCACCCTCTCTTAAAGATCACAGTACCAAGAAATATTCCACTACTGTGTATAGTTTAGTTTCTCCTTCCTCAAACTGCATACCTTCCAATTGTGTGGACTTTAATCCAGAATTCTCCAGCCAGCTTGGCCAATGCTGACAATTCAAGAAGATGAACTCAATATATTTGAGGAACAGTGACTTTAATACACTGGGCATATACAGTAACCTTATTTTAAGCCCCATAACCCTCATCCAATTCTGATCGCGCTATCCTGCAAGCAACTAGTCAGATCTATCAATCAACAGTAAGAGACCACCCGAACTTTCCAATATTGTCTGGATATACCAGTATCTCAGCTTCCTGTGTCTTGGATTTATTTTATTACCACTATATTCTCCTTCTGAGTTATACTTCAATGTTTTCTTGCATACATTACATTCATCTGTCACTAACAGTGCAGAGAAAACAAGTCTGTAATATCTTAAAATAGGTAACACATACTTTTCTTCTACAATTATTATATTTTGGCAGAAGTACAATGCGTCTTCCAGTCATCACAATGTTAAATGCCACATTCAAGGCTTATCTATCCAACAACATTTTATTCAAAAGTGTATTTTCAGTGCAAATTCTGAAAGACAATTATACAGTTAATATATCCATTATTAATTATGCTACTTTTCTCTTTTGCCTCACAGAAATTGGGGAAAATACTATATGGTACATAACTCAATCTCCTGTTTAAACCTGAAACTAAAGCTGTTTCATTATGTAGCTTTCTCTTAAGATAATCATTTTCAATCAGATGTATGCTGTTGGACCATAGAAGTGGTCTAAGTCAGTTGCAAGTTAAGTCCTTAAATCCACCCCACCCCCATTACTTGTACTCCCAGCCCCATTATGGACTGCTATTTCAGACCTGGGAGGAGCTGCTGGGCCAGATTTCTACTTTTGCTTTTCATCTGTCTTATCTCTATGAGCATTATCAGTCCACTAACTGCTTCCTTCCTAGACTTTGGCATACTGCACCAGGTCACCCTTCTCTGTGGGCCAACCATACCACACTATATCAGTTGAGCAAACTGTAGGGAATAGCCTGGGAAAGAGAAAAAGAAAGTTGCAGCAGTGACATCCTGATATGCACAGGGTTAGTTTTTTTCAAACTCATAACTACGTAGCATTTCCATTGGCTCCTCCTCTCTGATGCATATTTAGGGACTTTCTCCTCTACCTTTTTCAGTCCATTCAAACAAAAGCATATCATTTATACAGCAAACACATGAAGGCTGAGGAGATTCTTAGAGCACCTTGGCATTCAGACAAGTTTAGCTCTACACTGCTCAGAATCTGAGAGAAAGCCTTTGTGTGCTGCCACCTTACAATAATGATGTCAATAATGATAAAGATGGAAAAGTAAATATAGTAACAGAATGCCTAAATAAAAATATTTT